AATTATACAAGAGTAAATTTTACACAATTTTCTTAACAAAAAAGATGCACCCCATGTCAATAGAAGATTTTGGTACAGCTGGAGATATATATATATATATATATATATATGTGTGTGTGTGTTTATCTTGTTCTTTTTTTTTTTCAAGTGAATTTATCTTTAGTTTATTATATATTAAAATAGAAAAAATGCTAGGGGTACACCTTTGGTAAAGGTGTACCCCACCCCCTCCTCTACCACATAAATGGGCAAAAACTTCAAAAAGAATTAAATAAATGAAACTTAAATAAAAATGGGTGGTGGAGAAGGGGGTGAGAGATAAATGAGGTACACCTTAGGTGAACTTCTATCATTGCTCTAAAAAAATGATACAAATCGAGCCCAAGACATGATTATTATGCAGGCACTCTGACCCGCGGCCCAATTCGTGTTTTACACGGCTACAATCAATTGAAGGGGTTAGAATTTCAAAATCAGATTAAATGAGATCAAATCCATTCAGATCAAATCAGATCAGTTTGGATTTATTTAGATTAATTTCGATAAATCACATTCATTCAGATCAGAAAAGTATTTAAAAAATCAGTAATTTTAAAAATAATAATAATAATTACAATAATAAAAATAGTAATTTTATTATCATTATTAATTAATAATAATAATATTAAAAATAACATTAATTTATTAGTATCGTACTTATTAATAACACTTATAGTTATAAATAATAATGACTAAAATAATAATAATCATTATTATTTTTGAATTATAATATTTAGTAATAAAGATGATAAAAGTTAATAATGATATTTATTTGTAAATAAAATAATAATAATAATAATAATTAACTTTAATTAATTATAATGATAATAGACTTTAAAAATAATTATTCTTTTAAAATTATAGTTAATATTGGAGCACAAAAATAGGAGACCCAATCTTAGAATTGGCAAATTCTTTTGAGGTTCTAAAACCCACATTCATTTTATGGATTGTAGTATTTAAGTAATGTGAATGAATTGGGTTCTTTGAAAAAATCTCTAAGTTGGCCCATAAAAAGTGAGAGAATGACCATATTTTATATGTAGACCTTAGATTTATCGAATCACAACTTTAATGTATAAATAGACCCACTCCATAAAGAGAGAATGAATTTTGATCCTCATTTCATGACGATATATCTTGAACTCATATTTTAAAGATGTGTAGAATGTTGTATGGTTTGATCCATTCATTCCAAACAAATCTACAAAGTCAATTTGGGAGACTTCTTAACTATGTTACGTTTGGTTCAAAAAAATTGATAGGGAGGAAAAGAAAAGAAAAATTAAAGAAATAGAGGAAAAGAAAATGAAAAAACTATTTTCTTATTGGGTTAGAGATGAAAAGAAAAGAAAAATTAAAGGAATAGAAAATGAAAAGGCAAAAAATACTAAGGGAAGGGAAAACCAAATTTCTCTCGTTCTGGTGAGAAGTTGAGGGAAAATTATTTTCTTTTCTTTTCCTTTCAAATAAGGGACGGATCGATGATGCTGAAAGCAAAACTACATAAGTATGTCACCCAAGAATGATTATGTTTTCAAGACACCCTTCAAGAAATAGGAAAATAAAAACTTCAAGACGCATGGTGAGCCCGCAAACTTAAAAGAAAAGTAATGGTGCTTATTTTGTTGGTGGTAAAACAAGTAGGTTATAGCTAACCGTTGCTTTAGTAGTAGATTTGATAATAACAAGCCTAGAAATATTAAACATAACCCTCAAGCCAATGTTGTCAAGCATGATGGTATCATCGTTGTTGATAATTCTAATGAGTGGATAGTGGACACAATAGCTTCCCACCATTCCTATGCTAATAAGGAGATGTTTGTTGAGTTTGTTGAATCTCCAGAAATTAAGAAAATATTTATGAGAACCTTGAAGAATTTGTATAATATTAAACTTGACTATACAAGAGATCCACCTCTGCTTATATATACAAAGGAAGGATATAGATAAGGTAACAATAATAAAAGGAATCTTATACAAGGAAGGAAACTACCAAATACAAATAATATTAAATAGGTAAATACTTAACATACTTCCGACTATGTAGGCGATGAGCGAACCCCAAGATTATGCAAAAAATCTGTGAAGAGAAGTGATGGTAATCCTTTCATGAAGATATTTGCAAACTGGGAGGAAGACGGGATGTAGAGGACACGCACGTGAATGAGTGCCACTTTGTCCCGAACAAAGTGAATATCAACATCTACATGTTTGGTGTGCTCGTGTTGTACCCGGTTGGAAGATAAGTATACAACATTGATGTTGTAGCGGAAGACAATGGTGGCTCGGCATAGGGGATAATGTAGCTCAAAGAGTAGATTTTGTATGCAACTGGTTTCGACAGCGGTATTTGCAATAGCCCGGTATTCTGCTTTGGCACTAGATCTTGATGTCGTGGCATGCCAATTTCATGACCATGAGACAAGATTATCACCCTAAAAAAAACACATTAACTTGAGGTGGACCGCCGTGTCACTGGACATGCAGCCCAATCAGCATCTGAACAAGCCTGAAGGGAGTCAGTGGAAGAGCGGGAAAGGGTGATTCCGTGAGTGACAGTGCCATGAAGATACTAGAGGACCCGCTTCAGGGTTGTGAGATGTGTGCTTCGTGGTGAGTGGAAAGGAAGGCAGAGCGGCTAGACTATATTTCTGAGATCAGGCCGCGTGAATAAGAGTTACTTCAGGGTGCCAGGGATGGGCCGGTAGAGAGATAGATCACCAACAAGTTCGGAATACTTCAGTCCCACTCAAGTGATAAAAATTGGGCAGAGCAATGATCGTAAATGTGAAATCAAAGTGGTTATTTTGTAGGCCGTCGAATAGGCAAATTGTACGGTATTTCGAAGGATTCCAGGCTCTCAGCGATAGCCATGAGGCCAACTTACCTTTAGTGTCGACAGGCAAGGAGATGGGCTTGCAGAAAAGCATTCTCGCTCGTTCCATGATTTCATGACCGAAATGTGTTTGATGTAGGGAGAGATCCCCTTTGGTGTGTTAGACATTAAGCACCGAGTGATATGAAAAAGTAAGGGATCTAAAGACGTAGTGAGAACAATATCATCCACATAGAGAAGGGGGTAGGCCATATTAGTCCCTTGTGTGTAGATAAAAAGAGAGGTGTCTATCTTGTATCCGTGAAATCCGATCTGATGAAGGAATCCTGCAAATCGCTGAAACCAAGAGTGGGGTGCCTATTTTAGCCCATACAAGGCTTTCTTAAGTTTGCAAACATATAACGAGGACGATCTTGGAACCTAGATGGTTGGCTGGCATAAATAGTTTCTTGCGGGTGCCCAGAAAAGCACTCTTGACGTCCAACTGATGTATAGGCTAGCCCTGAGATAGGTCCAAATTGATCACAATACAAAGTGTGGCCGGATTGATAACGAGACTCAACATCTGGCCGTATACAATGCCGAAATGCTCTTTGAATCTGTAATGCCTTGAATACCGACTTAGTAGTTAGCCGTTATTTTGAGAAAAATAAATATTGCTGCACGAGAATAGAAGTAGAGGCCATAGCATCCAGGCCAAGTTCTAATAAGTGCAACATGGAAGAAGCCCACAATTCTAAATAATCAAGGTGAGTTCGCGGCTTGTTCTATCTTTAGAATTCATAAATAGTGTTAATTTATATATGCAATCAATCATAGATTTGTTTACGCGATTTATTTGATTATGATTGTTGATTATTATTTATTTAAATATGATGTTATTGAAATTAGTTGATTGGTGAAGGCCAGGTATGTTTCTTGCTTAAAATCTTATGTTTTGTGTGCTAGTGGTCCCCATAAAAATTAAATATTATTAGTCGTTGAAACTCAGATTGAACACTGAACTCTGGTTGCACTTCTCATAGAGATGGTAGGTACCTACAACCAGGCGGTAGGTTAGCACTGTCACAGGCTGTCTTCAGCGGGTAATGTCCTGGACAGTACCAAAATACCGTTAGGCGGTACCGAGGTATCGTACTACGAGTTGAACGCATTTTGTTGCTTGCTTTTTGTTGTTGACCAAATATATATATTTTACAATATTGTGTCATACGCAATATGTACAAATATTTTACTTTACTCCTTAACAATATTCTACACCTGATTTGCAACATACCATCAAAGGGTGTTTTCCTTCCGTTATTGCACAAAAAATTTTGTTTCTCTGATTGTTGCTACCGCCATGACTTTTGCACTCTACAAATTATGAAGTGGTTTTAGAATGCAAATGCCTTTGATGATAGGGAACTACCGAGTGACGATATTTCACTATCATCTGATTGTTAGAGGTTAAAATTCAAATTTAATTACCTTTGACCAATCTTAATAACCCTTACACGATCATCAACGTTCACTGATCTTTCTCAAGTATAAATAGAGTCGTAATCCTTCACTTTAAACAAGAAACCAAGCTCTCAAACTCTATATTTCATACTCAAAGTGTGTTTATCTTTTTATTCTTCATTCTTATTATTTTAGCTATTTCAAGATCTTTTTACTTTCCCACATCTTAGAACACTTCATAATATTCATGAAGTCAAAATGATACGGAGTACATTAAACAGTTTTTGCTTATTGCTTAGTGCTGATACACCGTTTTTAACTTATAAGCTATTTATAAATCAAATATTCTTTCATAGAAGTAAAATGACTTAAATGATAGATAAGTCACTTCAAAAATATTCATAAATGGTAAGAGACAATTGTGTTGATAATCTGGTCTAAACGAAGAAATGAAAAAAATCACTTAAAAATAAAGAGCTACGACCTAGTTATTTTTCTAACATATAAGTCAGCTTATAAGTACACAGAAATATGTTATCAGCAGATTCATAAGTAAAAAAAAACTACTTATAAACAATTTTGACCAGCTTATAAACACAGAAAATTTTTCACTAAGTTACGAAGTCCCCTAAAGAGTACAGGAATATAAGAATGGAGAGATATACCATAGAAAAAAGGACTAAAGGAGTACAATATATTCACTCAGAGCTCAACTTAAACACTAGAATACTGATACAATCACTGCTCTCTGTGGTACAGCAGAATCAGACTCAATTTGAAACTATTAATCACTAATATATAAGGAAACTAATACAAATAATATTTATTATTTCTACTCTTTTCTCCCAAAGAAGTTTAGTTTTAAAAAAATAAACAAAAAGACTCTTACATATGAACGACCCCGAGCACTGTATAAAACACATCAATCTGATCAGATGAAAATCAATATCACAGAAATACCGGTAGAAAACCATGTTTTGGCATTTATCGCATCACCGATTCTTTAACAAAGGAACGCCCGCCGGCTCTGCAAGAATCAAAATTGAAATGGGGAAAAAATTTTTAAGGTTTTCAACAGAGGAACACATCAAGAGCCTAGATATAAGATGTGGTAAACGATTTCAAATTCAACTTACGAATACTTCAAATGAATGTTCATGAACCTAGCATTTTCTTTGCTTTGTGACAATTCTAAAGAACCTTCAATAACTTGATCTTGCTCCACGTCGATTGGATCATAGAAGTATATCAATGTCTGCAAACATTAGTAAGCATGTTGAATATGTTTTTTCCCCACATTCGAGCACCTCGAATTAGATTTGCCAGCAAGTGGTAAAGCTCATGCTCATGGAATATGAACAAGCTATTATCTAGGTCAGTTTACTTGTGCTAGTATTCAATCGGTAATCCCTTACATAAAATCTAAACCAGTAGAATGTTGTTTATCTAATATATATAGTACTGACCGTGTAAGTATACTTGCCAAACACCAATACTACCAAACCAAGCATGAGGGAAATCAAGATTGCTGGGGATGGTCAAAAATTGGCATGCAGTTTTATCCCACCAGTTAGAGTTTGTTTTCTTCAACTTATTCTTTTTACATATAACTTAATGGAATCAGATCAAAAACATCTTTAATTCCTTTAAATATAACTACAAACAGAATAACAGATCAGATCAGAACTTAATGGACTTAATCGAATCAGATCAGAACCAATCAGAGAAGTTGAAAAGAACAAGCCCTTAGCATTGCATCATACGTACCAAAAGAATAAATGTTCAGGTATATGTTTGTATATAACGGTCCACATACATAGCATAAGTTAACAAGTGCTTAAGAAATGACAAAGCACCTGTTGCCAATGTGTTGGAGTGTCCTCCGGTGCTGTAGACAGCACGAGGGAATCACTGGGATTCGCACGCTTCTTTCTCTGTTTTCCATCAATGTTGTTACCATTTGAATGCTCGATGAATGAAAGTGTATCAATATTAGATGGAAACATTGCAGGACCACTGAATTCCACATCAAACCAGAAAGCAAACCCATGAAATGGTGCTGGATAAAACAAAACAAAAATAGTCAGTACGGAAAAGGAAAAAATATAGTAGGCGGCAACAGAACTTCGAAAGAATAAATAAGCAAGAAGTCAATCCTAAGTTGGTATGACTCATAAAAGCATTGCAACTATACCTCGCATCATTGACTGAAATCTGAAACTCGTTTTAACATGTTCTAACTCATGTATAGTCACAGTATAGCAGTCTAAATGCTTTACCTGGCATGAAGGAATTAAAGCAAAGTGAATTCATAAAATCATCTCCAATAGACTCTTGAATTGAGATAAACAGTCAATCACTAAAAACTGTCTCCGACAACTTCTCAGAGTGGATTTTCACTCTCTAAGTTTGGAACGTGAAACAAGTCGTTTAATATAAATTGCACTAAATCCAATGAGCTTTGGAAAGACATTCTATATATATAAGTGAAATTAAATGCATTGACTTCTCTTCTCTTTTTTATTAAAGAGAGAAATTTAAAGAGAAAACATAAGATGCATGTTGGAAGAATTTAAAAAATTACTCTTGATATTTAAAGATATACGGCGAATACTATTTTGTGAAATGTGATATTCAGATATTTAAAATGCTATTCTCTGGTGGTCCTTACATAATGGCAATAAAGAGTTTGATTAGCCTTTGGGTAGCCCACTAATGTGACTATAGAGCGGCATAAAATTTAAAAAAAGATCTATAACAATAACAATATTATCTTTCCTCGACTGACTTTATATGCGGATACATAAACAGACCCACTGTAATCCAAGCAATGAGGTATGTGAGGGTAACATGTACACAGACCTTACATCCACCTGTACGAGGTGGAGAAGCTGTTTCGAATAGACCATCAGCTCAAAGGGATAAAATCAAAATAAATTGAAGAGTAAATTCGATAATTGGTCCTTTAAATCAAAGGCTTTTCCATATTTAGTCTTTATAACAAAATATTATGTTCGTGGTCCTTTGCTTATGGGTACACTTCCACGAATAGTTCTCCTTTTTACCACTCATCATGTTGGTGTTAAAAGTGTAATTTCACATGGTCCTACATCCTTCTTGCCAAAGCCAATACCAAAGGTTACTGATGTGTAATTTGTCCGCTGGAATCGCTGCCCACCGCAACCATAGTCCACAGTTGTCGTCGCTGGTCGGAATCCATGTCCACAACCATAGTCAGTAATGATGTATTGTCCGTCAAGCCCACACAAGAATACATGGCCGAATCTAGGGTCGATATAAAATTACACTTTTAGCTCTGAATCTAGGCATCAACATGACAGAAAGTCAAACAAAGGATAATTTGTGGAAAAGTAACCATAAAAAAGGGACCACGAACGTAAGATTTGTAGATAGAGGACATAAATATGGAAAACCCCATAGTTTTAAAGGACCAATTATAGAATTTACTCTAAGTTGAAACAAAAGAAAATAGACTCAAAAAAGATAAAATAAAATAACACAAAACAAATGTACAAAAAAGAGAAAAAATAGCTAGTACAGAGAATGAACATTTATGTGTTCCCTACAAAACACTTAAGCGACGAGAATGAGTTGAAAGGACTAAACCCCACCTCCCAAACCAGAGCGAAAAAAAACTAAAGTACCCATCCATCCTCTTTGCATGGCTTAACCATCACGCAACCTTGCTTCCATCATCATCTTATCCACCACACAGACTGCAGAATAACTTTGTTAGTAATCATATCTTGTGTCGTATGACCACACATCTATCTTAGTATTTCACATCTCCACCAGCTTCATCTTTTGGACGTGGGCATTGTTAACTGGCCAACATAAGTATAATGAGCATACAGATATTGGAGACGTATTGGCCTATATTCCCACCAATGTTATCCCCATTTTTAAAACTGGACTACTTGGGATGGTGTTAGCCTTCAAATAAATGGGGCCATCCCTGTTAGCAAAACTTCTTTTTTTAGGGCAGAAGAGCCTTGGCTTTGCTGGGCAGTAGTCGTTTGGTGGGCTTCTTTGTCCATCTCATTATGGAGTGGGAAGGAGTTGGGAAATGATGATGGCCTCCGGCTCAAGATCAGGCTGGAGTGGATCTTGAATGGAATGATGAATAAATCCATCAAACCCAAGGGAGCTGGAGGATGAGGCAGGGACGTTGGCTTTGGAGTTTGGGCACAACCCGCCCTCAGCCGTCAAGCCTCTAATCGCTTCTCCTGTTGGTCGAGCAACTTTTACCTCCATCCTAAATGTCAATGCATCAAGCAGAAGCGATTCATGGATCTCTGAGGCTTATGGAGAAGAGGATACATCCTCTTTGGTCTCACACCCCAACCCCGAAAGTGTTAAGTTTATTTTGGGACGGACGAAAAAGTAAAGTATGAAGTTTATCTTGGTCTCACACCCCAACCCCGAAAGTAGGAAACATATTTTTCAATTCTAAAATGATTGTTAAGATATATGTGTGTGTGGGTCGGTGTGTGGGTGTGTACACACACACACACACACACACGCCCTCCTCTGGCCTCCAGTAACTTTTGTTGATTTACATGTTTTCATTGATCATTTGATAAAGTAAAATATTCTTGTCATCTCTTATTTTGTAAAACTTTAAATGTAGTTTTAAAATTTGTAGGCTGTACTTTTAAATTTCTAAACCAATTTGAAAATAAAACATAGGTAGTATTAAAAAGTCACGGGATTTTGCACGTTATTCGAAACGGGCAATCCATTTAGGGACAGAGGCTGTGTGTGTGACTGTGTGTGTAAAACTTAAAATTAATGTACATTTGATGTATAAAAAAATCATTTTTTATTCAAATGATTGCATTTCAATAATTTAAATCATGCCCTTTAACCCTTAAATTTACCACAATCATTTATACTTTGAAATTGCATTTCAATTTAATATTATATTTGTAAAATTTAAAAAATAAAACTTCCATTTTTCAAAACTACATCAAAAAGTTATATGATTATGTTCTTCTAACAAATGATTAGAGTAAATAAGTAAACAAAGAATAAATTGTTTGACTTTGTGAATAGTAAAAGTGAAGTTTATTTAGGGACTGAGGGAGTTCTATTCACAAAATACAAAGATAGCATAAAAATATCGCATTATATGTAATATATCTCAACTATTGACTTACTATTGTCTAATATATAAAAAAGGTTTAACAAAAAACTCCTTTCCCCTAACTAAAATTGAAAATATGAAACTATAATAGGAGCCTCTTAGCTCCACCTAGGACTTTGCGCCGTCAAGGCTGAAATCAGGGTGGTTGGGTCTCTCACTACTTTTGCAGAATGAATAAAAGTGATGAAAATTGAAAAGAAAAACACAAAAAAGTATGAACTTAAATCGTATGGAGTAAAACCCAAAATTAAAATTCTTCAGTGGATAAATGCCCTCACACAATTTCTAAGGTTATAAATCTCAAGAATAACAACAACCTAGTAGAATCCCACAGAGGTAAGGTCAAAGGTTATAAATCTCAGAGCTATATAATTTTTCATATTCACTCTAATGGGCGAATGCTTCACTACAATTTCTTAATGTTTGGAAAAATAAATTCTTAAAACAAAACAAACTTAGAACACATAAAAGAATTGCCTGTTTGACTGGATCAAGACTCACCACGTGGGGCCATGTCAAGACATTTTCACCATTTATTGTTTCCACAGACGGCTCTTCAAATGCACATTGCTTTGCTAATGGCATTATAGCAGACACTGCAAAAAAACATAAAGAAAACTAAATTTAAAAAGGTCAAGGGAATAACGTATCCAAGCATATTATCAGCACCACCCAGGTGAAGATAAATTCTTCCATAAAAAAGAAAAGAACATTAATCAAGACGTGCTCTATTGAGTGGGGACTGAGCTCAACGCATTCTCAAAAGAGTCAAAGGAACATATTGCAAATGAATCTTACTGCATATACTCACTGTCTATCCCGTACACATTGCGCCAAAAGTCTATGCTTGCACTATATCTATCTGGATTTGTTACTGGTGCCATATATAACTGCAGAGAGAACAAATGAAAAATAATTTGTTAAACATTTCTTGAAAGGGTGGTTTTATAAGCATCAAAGAATATGTGAGAAGAACCATAAGTACATAAGACTCAAACTTTATAACCATGAATGTTAAGATAATGTGACAAACCATTTAAAGCAACATTAAATCTAGTATAATCCCAAATTTGTTGGGGTATGGAGGGTCAACATGTATGTAGCCTTACCCCCATGCTAAAAGGAGAGGTTCCTATTAGACCCTTGATGCATTGCTGCATTTTCTTCCCAAAACTTCATAAAAAAGTAAGAAGCCAAGGAAGTTTAATGTGATGTGCCATTTTGATTGTGCCCATTATTTAAATGAAGCAAAAACATTGTCAATAATGACTCTTTTAGATCCATTGGCAATGGCCCATGACAAACCATTTAATGAACAAATTCAATTTAAGAAAAGTGAAGTGGTGCCCACTGGAATCCCACCACTGAGAAGGGCATAATGTACAAAACTACTTGTTCTTAAATAACTTATTTATCTATTGATAAGCAAAAGATAAGTTGTAAAATAAAATAATTGCTCTTTCATGTACAATTGTAGCGGTGGGTTCCACTGCTTATTGTTTTTAAATTTTATTACTCCGTAGTAAGCAAGGCAAGAAGTTCTCTACTGTGCTAGAAAACATTATGTTCGCTACATCTTGCATTATGAGGGAACGATTATAAAGTTATACTGAGGACTGATGGAGATAATATAAAGAATATTTGAAGAAAAAATAGAGGACAAAGATTTCACAGAGCAACGACGAAGGAGAACACATTCGTCTCGTGGTTTGGGTATAGGGTATCTGTTTAGCATTTTAGCCTCAAATTGTTCAATATCCAGCATACTTGAGGTGTAAGCATGACAATAGGTAGGTGTACACCCACGCCCAGACCCCATTCATCACATTTTATTGGGTTGTTTAATATTGTTGGTGTAAGCAAGCATGCAATCATCATCATTCATTGGCACCTTTATCTCAACAATGTCGGGTCGGCAGCATGAAATAAGTGTCAATCAAAAAGTAATTGGTATGTAATAAAACTCAAATATTTTGTGAAGGGTGAGTATTAGTCATATCCCATTTTATTTGTCCTACACTCCTACTTTCCTGTTTAGTTCATCCCAAAGTAATGTTAACTTTCTAAAATCTAAACACCATGTCGCCACTAATGTGTAAGTTTTCTCAATTCACCGCGTGGCTTAACCTTTTTTAAATAATTTATTTGAAGGACACTTTTGGTAAGTGCGTTGTGTTTTGCTTGTTTGCATTAAAAACTATGCTAAAAGCAAATGTCCCCTATAATTTTTGAAGATATAGACGTAAGCAAGTAACAACTCAAGTCCTATAGCCATAGCTAAATGCAATCATAGCTAATAGCAAAAGATTGTCATGTTCACAAGTCCAGACTGCCATGCTTAGCATATGCACTTTACAATGACATGTAAAATGATGATAGTCTAAAAAACGTTTCATGCTTTCTCAAAAATACTTCTCGTTAAAAGTATCATTAACAATGTTAACTGTGAAACTGAAAGCAATTACTCCCTTCGTGCCAAAAAGAACATCCTAATTCACTATTCAAAACCACGGGAACTTTTGTTTATTTGTGCGCTTTTATTGATTATTTGACAAAATAATATATTCTTGTCACCTCTTGTTTTGTAGAAATTTTGATGTACTTTTTAAATATATAAGTTTTATTTTTTATTTACATACCGATCTTTGAATAAAACGATTTGAAAAAACTTAAAATTTCGCTTTGTTTTGCGTAATGTGATGTACTTTTTCTTTTGAGGGAGTACAGTAAATACTATGACTCGTGGATTGGTGATTCAATAAACAAATTTTTTAATAGTCTAGTGATCAAGATGTGGAAATAAGTTCTTACATATCAAAAAATAATTTTTATAAACATGGCATTAGCCATTATATATGAAGTGTTTGCAACCATTTTTTCTGGTGTTTGGCTTATTTAAGCACTTTTCGGAGTTTTAGTGTTTGGTAGTACTTTAAAGTGCTTAAATAATCAATTTTTTGAGTTATAAGCCAAAAGTAGGTTGATACCTACTTAAAGTTGTGCTTATTGCTTATTTGAACAGCTTTCCACTTTCGTCCCAACCATTTTTATACCCTACTATTTAGCCTTGTCTTTTACTCATACAATAAAAAAATATTCAGTTTTGGTTTTTAAACACTCAAAAGAATTTACGCAGGAAATTGTACTTCAACACACAAACATTACACACTGATACTTAAACAATCACTTATCCCTCAAAAACAAAAGCAAATTTTTTAAACACTCCCATAATTGTAGGATATCCAGATTGGCAGATGGGGAAAATAATGAGAAAAGTATGAAAAAAGAGTATACCGTTGCGCTCGATGGAAGAATAAGACCACCTGGTTTCAGCCATCTGTCTCTAGCGGTTATGACACTGCCCAGCATGCTCTAAAGAGAAGAGAAGCAAAACCACCATTTGATACACTATAAATACAGTATTGCAATCAATAGAGATATGACAGAACAAAGTGTAGAGCTAATAGAGAACATATTGCATGATAGTCTCCACGTGTTTGTAAAAGCACCTCATAAAGAAGCATGTATCCCATCCACTCTGAAACTATAACATCAACCTCTTCATCTATCTCAACATCCTGCAATAAACTTAGCATAGAATAGATAAACCCATATAATTTAACGTGGCTAAATTAACAGAATCAAGCTAATCAAACAGAAATGGTCCAAGTGTAACGCCCTGAAACCCGGCTTAGTAGTTAGTCGTTGTTTTAATAAAAATGAATATATTATTTATTGACTTCAAAATATGAATTATTTGTAAAGTTGACCATTTTAATTAAAAATTAGGTTTTCGGGTAGATCTCGTAAAATGGTGACCAACGATATATAATTTGTTAAATTTGGAGATACGGGCAATGCGTGGTGAGTAAAACAGACGTTACAATTCAATAAATGAATAAAAATGATTATAATCATTAAATACATTTCCAATTTATTACGGGAAGTAAAATCCCAACCTGTAACTCCTACTATAATTATGTAATAATAATAATAATAATAATAATAATAATAATAATAATCATCATCATAATAATTAAAAGAGCAGTTTCCGGTTAGGATTGAGATTTGGGAGTCCAAAGGACTCCGTATTTTTATATAACCTACGAGCCTTCTTCTTCGTTTCCCACAAGCTACGAACCAAACCGACGGGAGAGACGCCGGAGTTTGCTAGAGTGAAATTCGCCGATCAACTCAGCCGGAAACAAGAAGAACTTCGCCGGAGTACTTCATCGGAAGTTTTATGACGATTCGAGGTGAGTGATTTATCTCTCGTTAGAATTAGTTCGTAGATTAGGATCCGTTAATATATTCTTGTTCAATTGATGCTGAATTCATGATTATGATTATTGAATTGTGTGTGTGATTAATTGTGTTGGGTTTAATTGAGATTGAGAACTTGGGTTTTGGGTTTTGAATTGTCTTCATGTACTTCTCCGCCTGATCTGTTCTTCTGCTCTGTACTCGATCCCTTCTAGTCCTGATTTCTACGGTTCTGCTGCGGCTTGAGGAAGAGAACAGCTCATATGGGTTCTTTTACTTGGGGACTAAGAGTAAATTTATAAGTAGTTTTTTTATTTACAAATTGGCCACATGACTTGAAGTTATTTGCAAATCAACCTTTGACCTTAACACTCAATTATGACTATGAATTAATCCTAATTTAGCAACCTAATAAAACTACACAATATTAAGTCCTCTTTTGCAATTCAATTCTTGAACTTATGAACGATATTTGTGTGTTGTGCTGGAGTTGTGGAATAGGTTATCTAGTTGTATTAGGTGAATCTAAGTTGAATTGAATAATGGAATTTTTACTAAGGTCATGCAGGTGTCGGCGTACACTTGATGGTCTCTAGGGTTAAAGCGTACGTACGGGAGTCCGCGACCTGCCTCGGCACCTCCGTGGCAGGGGCTCCAACCCGCCCAACTGGACACCTTCCATTGGGTTTACAAGCTTGGCCTCTTGGACACCTTTCCAAGAGTGTCCATGACTAGTGTGTTTAGTTGACTTTAGAAGAATATGTTAATTATGGCAACAATACGCAAGGATCTAAAACGAACAAACGTACGAACGAACGGACGACGGATTATACTATTTGATAATTATAAAAACTGGTTCTTCTGATATTGTATGAGTATATGTTAATGGGTGCTAGTCTATGAGTTGGTTCTAGCGTTAGATACTTCCACTCTCCCTATTTTTACAGGTAAGGGTCAAGTATTAGACGAGGAGCAACCTGGAGAACAGTGAAGCATGACGCTGGTGGATGACCCAAAGCTGTGTTGAAATTGAATTAAATACTTGTTGACTTTTATTTTGTTTAAATTACAAGAATGTTTGATGATGTTGTTTTAAAGGCTTCCGCAACGTTTGAATTATTTACTCCGATTAATGATGAATTGTTTTTAAATAAATGCAAATTGATATTTTATTATTAAATGTTTGAAAATATTGTGCATGTGAATACCAAATTAGTGACAATCCGACTCGCTAACTTGTTGGTTCGGGTTACGCGGGTTGGGGTGTTACACCAAGTATCCATCCGGATGCACAAATTAGAGAATATACTTAAGGAAAATGTTTGATGTCATTGGTCTCCCATCTGTACACCAAAAAGCATTTAAGAAACACTAAAAATATGGCAATATTTGAGAATTTAAATTTGATGAAACTTGACTCATCCCTTTCTCAATATATACAACATTTTAGCTTGGAGTACAACATTCTTAGAGCAACCTTCTTAGGACTCCGATAACTAAACCTTTTGAAAAGCATTAAGCCTGTGTTGAGACCTCAGGCAATTAATACCATAAACATGCATTCTTAAATAACTAGAGCACCCCATGCACAAAATTGGATTAAGGTGCAGGATGGTGATGATATGAAGTACTCCGTAATACATTTTTGCATTAATAAATGTGTGTGTGTGTATTGGTAATATAATTCACGATATTGTACTGATCGACGAGAAACGGGAGGGACTCAATGACAACTTTGAATGTTGCTTCAATGGCCTCATGAAAGAATCTGAATCGAAAGTCAAGATTGATTCTCGCCCAGTGCCAAAGGGAGAGATTTTGATATCTTGGCTCGGGGGGATGTTGTCCATCGTATATGAGTGGCTTGGTCAAAGTGGAAAGCTTGCTTTAAGGGTCCTTGGTGACAAGAAGATTTCAACAAAGATGAAGGGGAAGTTCTATTGGTCTGTTGTTAGACCGGCCATGATTCATGGAGCAGAGTGTTGGGCTGTTAAAAACCCCATGTTCTTCAACTACATGCAGCAGAAATGCGAATGCTGCGGTGGATGTGTGGGCATACAAGGTTGGATAATATCCGGAATGAGGTTATCAAAGGACGAGTGAGAGTGGCACTTGTGGAGGATAAGTTGCGGGAAGCCAGAAAGAAGTGGTTTGGGCATGTGAAGCGGCATAGTGTTGAGGCTCTGGTGTGAAGGTGTGAGAGGATTACGATAGTTGGAAAGGATGGAGAAAGGGGTAGACCTAAAAAGAATTGGAAAGAGGTGATTAGACAAGATCTAGAATTTTCTTGCCCTAACTGAGAATATGACTGGGTCTAGAGATCTAAGACTAGGATAGTTGGTTGCTCTTTTGGGAATAAGTACTTTTTTTACATTGTGTGCTTTCTATGATTGGTGCTCTATTCTTTCATTCCTTCGTTTTTTCCTTGCGTTATTTTTCTACTCTTAGCTTGCTCTTTTTTATTTGGGCTTTGTGTTTTTTGTTGTGCTCAAGCTGGGGTCTCTTGGAAAGAGCCTCTCTACTTTCGTGTAGAGGCAAGGTTTGCGTACACACACCCTCCCCAAACCCTACTTTTGTGGGATCATAGTGGGTTGTTGTAGTTATTGTTGTAAATGTGTGCATATATACTCTATTACTCTAACTTTAAAATAGTTGCACATTTCTTATTTATCTTTGAGCAATGTTTTTAAAAGCGGACCGGCCGGTCAGACCGGTCAGACCGCAACCTGGACACGAATCTATTCCAGTTCAATATTTAAACCCATTTTTTGTTGACCTGACCAAACCCGTTGGACCCGGCAACCTGTGTGACCTGGGTCGGCCCAGCAAAAGAAAGGGCGGAACCCTTGACTTCCCTACACCAACACTGTCATATAGCCAAATGAGCTATTCTCCTTCTTGCTACTCAGTGCAAGCATAAACGTTAAATATACATCTAATACATGAAAAACCCAAAAATCTTAATTATGGACTGTACTTTTTTTGGCATGTTTGCATTTGTATCTTATTTACTTAACAAATTGAGCATTTAAAATAGTTCAAAAAAAACTGTGCATGATTTATTTTTTGTTTCAAAATAAATATAAATTCTTATTTTTAAAGATTAACTAATACTCCCTCAGTTCCTAAATAGATTACAAATTCTGGATTACGAAGAAAAATTTCCTACTTTTTGAAATCATTTTATTTACAAATTGGTATATCAATAAGATATAAAAATTACACATTAAAAAACTTTGTCAAAAGTTCTACAAAACAAGAGGTGACAAGAATATTTTATTTTATCAAATACTTAATGAAATCGCGTAAACAAACAAAAGTTATCGAGAGGAGAGAGAAAAAAATTGTAATCTATTTAGGGACGGAGGGAGTATTTATTATTTATAATGCAACATTTTTTTATTTTTCAATCATTTAAATCAACTAAATGTACATTTTAAAATGTCAAGAGCATATAAGAACACATTATCTAGTATGTACATTATTGAAAGTATGAGTATTGCCTTATTATTTAAGTATTTATTAGATATTCATTAATAACTTTTAATAATATAAAAATAATAGAATAAAAAATAGAAAGTGCGAAATAGTATATGCACAATTATAGTAAAAACTAGATAGAGAAGTAACAAAACACAAATTAAAATACTTTTATAACTAAAAAAATTCTAATAATATACTCCCTCCGTCCCTCATAGATCTTCCCAATAGCCCTTTTTCTTTGTCCACAATAGATCTTCTCATTTCATTTTTTTAACAATTAAAATACCACAACTACCCCCACTTACTTTATTTATTACACCTCACCTACCTCATTTAATACACTCCACCCATTTTTCATTAAGGGTATTATGGTAAACTTTCACCTTTTTTCAACTCTCCTTAAAAATCACCAAAAGTCAAAATGAGAACATCTTAGGGGGACGGAGGGAGTAATATATAATATTATTTTTTTAATTATCATGGAATGGGTCGTTGACCCTGGGTTTACCGGTTTAACCGGTTAACCCTTGACCAACTCCCTTGTCCGTGTTGACGTCCGGTCCGGTTTTCAGAATATTGTCTTTAAGTTGTGTCATACTTTTTTAGACAAAAAATAATTTACAAATGGCCAATGCTTCATGTTGAGTTTTTGATTCCCATGTTACATATAACACAATAGTTTCACTAATCATTTCAAAGTATAACATTCAATAACATGAGTAATACATACCTCAATCCGTCCATGAAGCACGATGATTGTGTCAGATAAGTTATTGGCTTTCACAACCTCATTTGCCTGATTAATTATCCAAAAGAACATAAAAATGGGGTGATGTTATGTTACATCTACAAGATATTTAGTTATTTATTTCTAACGATCTTCTTGATACAACTAAAAAAGAGAATAAATGTAGTTTAAAGAGTGAGATGGCGTAGAACTCTCAATTAAATAATGGGATATGAGCTTGTTAGATAACAGAATTAATACACTCATACATTCAGCTAAGCTACAAGTTTGCTAAATAATATGAATACACTCATAAAGTCAAACAAGTGATAGATACCTCAACTAGAATTGTAGGGATAAATATGGAGTAGAACTATGTACAGTTGTAACTTTTATATCTACACTAGGTACTCACTAAAAAATCAATAGATCAAAATTAGATATATTTATAAAATTAACCAATAATTGTGTTGAGCCTAAGTTGAAATAAACCGACTTATTTGGCTAAAATGGATTTTACTAAATGTGTTTCCTTTAAAAAAAATTGACGCGTTCTGTAATTGAAGAGAAATAAGCCTTCCCAAATAGGATCTTAATGTGAAAAGCCAATATTATAGTGATAACTCAAATTTGGGCTAGCAATGGTACCAAACATACATTAAATTGCTTTTAACTTACTCAGTATTGTTTAGCTGAAACGGATTTTGCTAAATGTTTTTCCATTGAGTAAATTCAACACATTCTGTAATTTAAGCCATATAAGCCTTGCCAGACGAGCTCTTAAGGTGAAAAAAGTTGATACTAGGGTGTTACTTCAAATTTGGGTTACCAACAGTCCCATGGTATGTTGTCAAGTTTAGTCTCTAGCTATGGGCCTATGACCTTTATTATTTACATATACACATGTTATATGTATTCAGAAGTGGAAACAAATGTTACAACTAGTGGGTGAGGAACAAAGGTTTCCCTTAATATGGTTGGGCTACATCGGGGGACAGGGTTAGGCAGCATCCCCTATCTCACACGCACCACATATGACTTAAATATGTGCATAAGTAAGGTGTTGTACAGTGAGCTAGGAAGGTAAATGAAAGTTGTGATAGTTGTGTGTGTGAATGAGTTGTTAAGTGTACATATCCTAATATAATAGGTCACAAAGATACGCATGTATAACGCTCACTAATACTTTGGATACATGAAAGAAAATGTACCTGAACTGCTATATCACTGGCATCTACTGCATATACCTGTGTGGCAAACAATTGTTAATAAATAAGTATTTAAGTGGACAAGGAAGCAATATATTTAATTTGTATGAATATCGCTCTACAGAACGACAGTCCCCCCACTTAAACAAATGTCTGGTATGGACAGATGTGCACGACAAGATAGTATAATTAAACATTTCTAACAGCTAGGGCTCAACTCTATTCACAACAGAGGCTACTACACTACCTGCAGCAGCAGGTAAAACGCCAAGAGAGATGGAGGAGGTTGAAGTTTGAGAGTCGGGACCCCTTGTGTCAAGAACAGAAACGGGCTCTAACCCGCCCTATTTCATGAGCAGAGAGAAGATTCAAGAACACATCTTTCTTGCATTCTTATCGTAGATCTGGAATGAGAGGGTGTGTTTAGATATTTTAAAGAAAGTTTGGAGATTTTAATTATTTAACGGCAAAGTTTAAGAACCTTGAAGAATGGGGAGATGGAGCCTGCAAGTGAGAATGGGATCTGGGAGCAAGAATGAAATCTGAAAATTTGCTTAGGTTGTAAGGATAAACAAGTCATTTAACAGCAGAAAAATTACCAAATAGGGAAACGGGTAGAAATTTTTTGGGCGGCCGAAAAAGGAAACTGGAAAGAAATTTTCCAGACGAAGGGAGTATTTAACAACTTCAAAAAAGAGGGTTTCTATTACGAGTTTACGACTGCATGGAAACTTGAGGAATAAAGGCCATGACTAAATAATTAAGAAAAACATTTAATGGACAATCACATAAAACAGTATTGTTAGTTTGGAGGGGAGATGAGAGAAATGTGAGGCAGCTCCATGCAGCAGCAAGTCCTGAACAGAAGAGCCCAGGGGTAGTTGTTTTTATTTTTTGCTTGTACGTTTTGTCGTTTTCCACTGACACATTAGCCAATAACCATACATTTTCCTTACAGCAGGTTTTTTCTCAACGCAATCCATCGTTGATGAATTATTAATTGCCTGTTTGGCGAGAGACTTTCACTATAAAGCATAAGAAGCAAGGTTCCCCGAGATTTCAAAGTCCATTTTAAGTGTGAACTAGAAACCATTGGATAAGGATGTGGTGGGTAGATCATACACTTCAAAGTAGTTGATCAACCATAATAGGACTCAAAGTCACAGCTATTGTGAAGAAACAAGGGTGTGTCCAGCGATCACGAGTTTTGGTAAGGAAGCTTTAGGGCCAAACCATATCTTCTTCCCTTGACTAATTTCTTTAATCATTTGTTAAAAAAGAGTATATGAGAAATGTTTTAGGCCGATTTAGCTAAAATAGCCATTCTTTGACAATGTTTTAGCTCTCGATAAAAAAACATTAAAAATGGACTAAATCAAAATAGCGCATTACACTTCACTTTCTTCTTGCTTTCTATGAAGTGTTGGCCAGTAAATGCATTAAGGATCTAAGGAAAACAATTTCTCTATTTTTACATGGTAAAGTTGTATACATCTTGACCCCAAACCCCAATAAAATTGGGCTTATATTGGGCTTGTTGTTGTTGTAAACTGGTCGAACCTTCTCTTGTTTAATAGAACTTTTAATGTAGTTTTTTAATAAATAAATTTTAGCTTTTAGTTTTACACTAATATTTCAATAAATTGAATTGAAAATGACTTCACACAAACATCGCAAAACTGAAATAAGACAATTTAAAATGGATGGGGGAGTAGCATTTAGTGAGAAAATAAAGAAACTCAAGGACTTTAATGGGAAAATTTCCCAAAATATCAAGATTAAAACTAGATAAAGAGAAATCAGAAGAAGAATTACTCATGTGCTCAACTAAAGTAGCAAAAGCCTAGGTGATGAATCACAGTGAAAGCTGTCAAAGCAGCAAAAGCCTGGGTGATGGAGTAGTCTGGTTTATGTTCTGTAGGTTGGAAAGTCTATTCTTCATTCTCAATATTTGATTTTGATTAAGCCCTTGTGATGTTCTTTAATAGGGAGGTTTAAGTCTAATCCCCGTCCTCTGAATTGTCATCACTTTTAGTAAAGTCAAATTGATACCATAAAAAGAGAACTACCAAAATATAAAAAAATGAAAACTTTGCTATAACTAATACAAGTATTAAAGAAATAAAGAAGCTCCCAAGTCCCAATAAAGGTTTAAGCTGTCAATCCCAACCATCTCAATGCCTTCACCAAAACTTTGTGCCTTGAACAAATTCTTTTGGAATTTCCTAAAACATCCATTAGTGTATAAAGTATTAATTGTTAAGGTGTCAAGGCATCAACCCACCATAACAAACAATAGCTAAGCCAATAATTGTTGGTTGCATTGCAACATCTTTTCTTACCAGGTCTTCGGTCTGTGTTGAAGAAAAGTTAGAGAAAACAACCCTAAGGGCATATAAGCACATTGCTTTGATGCAGAAAATCGTATATGGGCTACTTATCCAATTGATAGGTTGAAGATTCATCCAAATAGCAACACATGAATCATTTAAAACCTTTTAAAAGTAACAACAAAAAGTCTTACCCGTCTAGCACCAGCTTGAGCGCAAAATATTGAGAGAATACCTGTGCCACATCCAACATCAACCACAACCTGGAAATCATTAAATCCGATAACATAAGAAAAAGATTTAATTTTATGGGGAAAAGATATATATTAAAATCTTTTAAACAATGAAATGAAATCAAATGCATGGAAATTCCATGCGTGGAGAAACAGTTGTAGTCATACTCAACTGCACTGATTACAAGTTTCAAAAATAAATCTCACCTAATTGTATGCTTTTTTTCTTAAAGGCACCTGATTGTATGATTAAATAGAAAAAATGAGTTCTTTAGCATTGAAAGTATACAGTTAGAACTTCTTACTTTTCCAGCAATGTGATTCTGGTGCTGAAAAATAGCATTCCTATAACCATCTGTACGAGCGCGGTCCTGTGTAACTCAATGTAAGAACACGTACAGTCTCACAAACATATTACCCATACAAAAACACACACGTACACACTCTTGTCAACTTATTGGTTTTACTCATTATATTTTTCTTTTTGGAGGGTCATTTCTTTGTAAATTTTGGGTTTGCTTAAAAAGACCAATTTTGTGTTGTATTTGTATCTTGGCTCGAAGAGGCCAATCGATAAAATAAGCAATCTCCATTACTAGAAAAGGGAAAAGAATAGCTAAGAATATACATATTCAATCGCCACAAAATCAAAATAAATTTTACAAAGTAGGGAATTTAAGACCCAGAAAATTACAACACGCATTGGGGAAGCACATCCAGAAAATGACCACTACGTATTTAACAACTACACTGGATTTGGACACAGATAGAGAGCAGATACAGCCTCACCTTTATCATCTCCTCATGAATTCCAACATGAGCATAGGAGTGAAAGTAGGCCTTGTCGAATTCAGTACAAGGAGGGGTAGGCCTTTCTTCTTCATCTTGCTGCTGGTGTTGCGAATGAGAAACCCTAGCCCCACTCTCGACATTGCCATTTCCATGGGTGCGTACTCTGCCGCGGCTGAGCCTTCTTCTCCCACGGCGGCCTGCAGCGAGGCTGCTGCCATCTCCGTCGTAGTGGTAGCCATTGCTAGAGCCGGAACTAGACGATCGGAACATTTCCTTGTTCCAGCAACTGCCTCCTCTTCTCAGTCAACACGGAGGTCAGCCGGGAGACCACAGTTCTGAACTAGACTTTGCAGGGTTTAAGATCCACCCTGACGACAATACAAGAGATGGATGTTTGGCTCAAAAATAGAATTGGATCTGTCAAGACATTAAAAAAAAGTTGGGAGAAAATGAAATGAGTTTTAAAAACTGAAAAAGTTAGATAATATTGAAAAAATAAAGTGTTAAAAAATTCATTCAATTAAATATTGATCCAAATAAATACTTGGTCCGTCCCTAAATGTTTGTCCACTTTTGACTTTTGGAACTGTTCATCTAAGCACTTTAACTCATCAAATTTTCTCAATGTGTAAGCCTAAAAATTGTCATGTGTGATCTTGTTTGATTCGTCTTAACATATAGATTATTAATATATAATTTTTATAATTTTTTAATATACAAATTACAAGATAAAATGGATTAAAGAAGTGCATTGGATGATGTGCAAAAATGAAAGTGGACAAACACTCAGGGACGGAGGGAGTATATAGTAAAACTAATTTTAGAAATATAAAAAATTTTTGCTTGTTATTAAGTATAAGAAAAGTGTTCGGAGCTATTACAATATGAACTCTATGAAGAAGTGGAATTTTCATAGATTAATTATGAGAGGAATACATGTATATATATATATATACAAAGTCTCAATCCTAGTTATGGTAGGAGAGATATTCTAGGAAACTATACAACTATGGAAACAAATCATAATACAATAATATTAAATATATTTTATATATTTAACATGCTCCCGGCTACGTCGGATGTGCTGGGGGTCGGATACCCAGGCTCTCTCTGAAGTCAAGAAATAAGAGGGAGGGCAGTCCTTTCGTGAAGATGTCGGCAAACTGAGAAGATGAAGGAACATGGAGAACTTTGATCTGACTAAGCGCCACTTTATCGCGTACAAAGTGTATATCAACCTCGACGTGCTTGGTGTGCTGATGTTGCACCGGATTTGATGATAGGTACACAGCACTGACATTGTCACAGAAGACGATTGTGGCGCGACGAAGTGGTTGTTGTAGCTCAAGAAGAAGGTTTCGGATCCAGCAGGTCTCTGCTACGGCATTGGCAACTGCCCGATATTCAGCTTCGGCACTAGAACGAGAGGTGGTGGCCTGGCGTTTGGATGACCAGGAAACGAGATTATCACCCAGGAACACACAGTAACCAGATGTGGAACGTCGAGTGTCGGGACAATCAACCCAATCTGCATCAGAATAAGCCTGTAGGTAGTCTGTGGCTGAACGTGTCAACTGGATCCCGTGGGTGGCGGTGCCACTGAGATAACGTAGGACGCGCTTCATGGCAGTAAGATGAACATCACGTGGAGCATGAAGATGTAAGCACAGTTGCTGAACAGCATATGTGATGTCAGGACGAGTGAATGTAAGATACTGCAGCGCGCCAACGATAGACCTGTAAAAAGAGGGGTCGGAGAGGGCCGAGCCAGCTGTGGTAGATAGTTTCGCCTTCATGTCCACTGGAGTAGAGATGGGTTGGCAGGAGACCATCCCTGCCCGCTCAAGAATGTCATGGGCAAACTGAGTCTGGTGGAGGAAGAGGCCAGTGGCAGTACGATGCACATTGATCCCGAGGAAAAAATGCAGATCACCCATGTCTGTCATGGAGAATTCAGCCTTAAGCTGCTGAATGAGACTCTGGAGAAGTGTAGCGGAGGATGCCGTCAGTACAATGTCATCAACATAAAGGAGCAGGTAGGTCGTGCCCATAGGCTGAGAGAAGATGAAGAGGGAAGTGTCGGCCTTACATCCTCGGAAGCCGATAGTCTGTATGAAACCTGCAAACCTGTGAAACCAAGAGCGGGGGGCTTGCTTAAGGCCATAGAGAGCCTTCTTGAGTTTGCAAACATAGTGAGGGCGAGTGGGATCCTGAACCCCGGAAGGCTGGCTGGCATAAACGGTTTCCTGTAGCTGACCATGAAATAACGCATTTTTGACATCAAGTTGATGAATGGGCCATCCGCGAGACAGAGCAAGGCTGAGGACAATACGGACAGTGGCAGGCTTGACAACGGGGCTGAAGTCTCGTCATAGTCAACGCCAAAACGTTGATTGAAACCGCGAACCACCCAACGGGCCTTGTACCTGGATAACTCACCTGAGGGGCCAAATTTGTGTCGAAAAAGCCATTTACCAATGATAAGGTTTTGGGAGTGGGAGGGGGGTACTAATTCCCATGTTTCGTTCTTTATCAAAGCATTATACTCATCACACATAGCAGCATGCCAGTTTGGATCTTTTAGTGCACTACGGTAGGTTGGGGGCAAAGGGGAAATGGGGGCGGAGGTGTTAAGATTGAGGATTTGTTTGGGGCAGAAGACACC